GTGTGTGTGTGTGTGTGTGTGTGTGTGTGTGTGTGTGTGTGTGTGTGTGTGCCGGGTACCATGGTGCACGTGTGGAGGTCAAAAAACAATTTGGCGTTGGCTCTCTCCTTTCACCATCCTAGGGATTGTAAAGAGTGCGGGAAGGAAGTCCTTAGTGAATAAAGTCCTCAGACCCATGAGGAAACAGCAAAGTTTCCCCTGCCCTACAGGGTGAGGCTCAGAGGGAAATAACAAAGTCTTCTTCTGGTCCATGACATAACCGGGAAGATGGAATCACAGTTGAGAAATTGCCTCCATCAGATTGGCCTGTGAGCAAGGCTGTGGGGGCATTCCCACGGTGAGTGGTTGAAGTGGGAGGGCCCACAGCCCACTGGTCTGATGGTCCTGGATTGTATGAGAAAGCAGGCTGAGCAAGCCATAGAGAGCAAACAAATAAGCAGGATCCTCCATGGTTTCTGCTTCAGATCCCGCCTCAAGGTTCCCGCTTAGAGCCCCAGCTTCCCTCAGTAATGGCCTGTGACTTGTAAACCAAACAAACCCTTTCCTCCTCAAGTTGCTTTTGCTCAGGGTTTTATTGCAGCAACAGAGAAAAAAAATCTAGGCCGCTTATATGTGCTAAATGGTATTACACTACTGAATATAAAGAGATAGATTAATCCAGATACAATACTATTGGGAGTTTTCATACTCTGCATTCATCAGTGCACAGATCACTCAGGAAAAAGAAAACAAGCAAAGAAACTCCAGACTTAACCTGACAAAAGCTATCCGTGCAATCTCCACCAAAATTCCAGAGGCAGTCTCCATCAAAATAGAAAACATAATTCAGAGCGCCATATGGAAGCAACAAGGATCCAAAACTCTCAAGGAAAAAAGGACCATTACAGCATTATTAGGTTATATGACTCCAACAACGTGGAAATTCTTTTTTATTATTTTTTTTAAGATTTGTTTATTTATTAATTATACAGTACTCTGCCTGCATGCGTGCCTGGAGGCCAGAAGAGAGCACCAGATCTCATTACAGATGGTGGTGAGCCACCATGTGGCTGCTGGGAATTAAACTCAGGACCTTTGGAAGAACAGCCAGTGCTCTTAACTTCTAGAAATTCTTAATAATCTGAGAAAGTTCTAAAGACAGTGAAAGAGTCTAGTTAGCTAGTATAATGGTTTAGATTGTAATTGTCCCTTAAAAGACATAACGATAAAGGTTTGGTTCCCAGCCTGTGTCATATTGAGAAGAGATGGAAACCTAAGAAGGCAGTGGACACAACCAAACACTAGGAGGAACCAGCAGAACCCTGAAGAAGAGAGGGATGAAGGACTGTAGGACCCAGAGGGGTCAGGGACACTATGAGAACACAGCCCACAGAATCAACTAAGCAGGGTTCGTAGGGGCTCACAGAGACTGAGTCAACAAACACGGACCCTGTATGGATCTGAGCTAGGTCCTCTGCATATATGTTACGGTTGTATAACTTGATGTTCTTGGGGGGCTTCGAGCAGGGGGAGTGAGAAGTGTCTCTGACTCTTTTGCCTGTTCTTGTGACCCTTTTCACCCCACTGGATCGCTTTGCCCAGCCTTGATATGAAGGTTTGTGCCCAGTCTTATTGGTTGTTTGTTGTTTGTTTGTTTTTGAAGGAAAATGGAGTGGATCTGGGTCTGGGGGAGATGAGGGGGCTGGGAGGAATGGAGGGAGGGAAAACTGTGGTGGGGTTGTAACGTATGAAAGAAGAATAAAAAGAAGAAGAGAAAGAAAGCTTTTTCAGTTATATAAAAAGGACCAGTTAAGTGGCTGACAGTTCATCAGTGGGAGAGAGCTAGCCCTGGGTTTGGTCCTCAGCACTAAATTAATGAAGAAGCAGCTACTCTTAGAATTATTATAACTTAATTGGATTAAAGTATCTTAAGTCGGGCTGGAGAGATAGCTCAGAGGTTAAGAGCACTGGCTGCTCTTCCAGAGGTCCTAAGTTCAATTCCCAGAAACCACATGGCGGCTCACAACCACCTGCAAGGAGATCTGGTGCCCTCCTCTGCCCTGCAGGCACACATGCAGGCAGAACACTGTATACATAATCAATAAATAAATCTTTTAAAAAAGAGTATCTCAAGTCATACAAAAATAACACCAAGAAAAAAAAGAAGGTCTTTGACAAAAGGGAAATCACTGGGCTCATGTTCTCTCTTTCTCTCCCTCTCCCTCTGCTTTGCACTCTTACTTGTCTCTTGCATTTATGGTCCAGGAAGGGCAGCCCAGCTTAGCCAGCTGGCACTGGCAGAGCACTGTCGCACTAACACACACATCACCACGTTAAGTGAGTGGTTCCGCATGGCTGCCTGAAGCTGGAGGTGTTCCTTCCTTTCCCCTCAGCGGCTTCCACCCAAGTAAAACCCAATTCCTGGAATTTCAGGAAAATGGAGTTGGAGTTCATTAAAAGGGCATATGTGACGAGGATTTTAAGCACAGAGGGGTGCCCAGGGGACAATGAGATATACCCACATACGGGTGTGTGCTTCTCAAGGGAGAGGCACTCCTTGTCTTGGCAATGGCTGCACAGAAGATCTTTTGGCTTTCTATTCCCATCACTGGGAGAATGTCATTCACAGCAAGTTAGAGAGTTTCCTTTTATAGACAAAGCTGATTTATTAGGGCTCTTTTTGGGAATAACAAATGCCAAAAGTCAGGGTTAGAAATTCCCTGAGCCCTGAGTAGGCTCATTTACTTTTAGTTTACTTATTATCTTTAATGTTTTGTTTTGTTTTCATTTGAGATATCTTAAAGAAAGCGTCCAAGCGTCCATCATCTCCAGAGCAATTCTGGCATTATCGGCAGCGTATGGAGCTTCCTGACTCTGCCAGCAGGAAAGACAAACCAACCAGCTCTCAGGATGAAGGGTTTCCTTTCCCTCTCCCACCTTCTCAATTTTCTTTCTGTTCTGCCTCATTGTGAGTGGCAAATCCTTGTCTTAGAAACAGTTTCACCTTCCCTTAGTCAGGACATTGGTGAAGGGTTGTTTTGTTTTGTGGTGTTTGTTTGGTTATTGGTTTTTCTTTTGTTTGTTTTGATTTAGTTTTTCAAAACAGGGTTTCTCTGTGTAATACTGGCTGTCCTGGACTCATTTTGTAGACAAGACTGGCCTGGAATTCACAGCGATCTGCCTGCCTTTGCCTCCCAGTACTGGTATTAAAGGCATGTGCCACCTGGCTCAGCTAAGGGGTTTTCCTACATAGCCTTTAGGATTTTGAGGTATATTCTTTTAATATCTAATTTGTGAAGAGTTTTCTTAATCATACAAATAGATTGTATCATGTGAAATGCCTGCTCTATATCTGTTGAGATGGCTGAATGGCTTTTGCATCACTGTTGGTACACGATATATTCTTCCATTGATTTGCAGATACCAAAACATCCTGGCATACTTGGGATGGATCCCACTTGATCCTGGTGTGGCCTTCTTAACGTACTGTTGCATCTGTTTTGGGAGGATGTTGCTGAGGGTTTTTGAGTCTGTTTACCAGAGAGCACATTTTAGTCTTCCTCACCTTCAACCAGCACGTGATTCCTATGTGAGCAGACATCTTGTCTTGTTCAATGATGTCCAAGGCCTTAGGTCAGACGTCGGTGGAAAAAGCATAACCAAGAGGTTAGAATTTTGAGAGAAAAAAAATTCCTAAAGAAATGAGAGATGAAGAAATCCTTCCTGCTGTCTCCAGGATTCTTAGAATGGATGCAGTCTTAAATCCTGAATCTGGTGTGGTGGCCAGGACGTATGGAGGGAGAGGCAGCTTCTGCCTACTGTGTAGCGAGTACTCCAGAGGCTGAAAGGTTGAACGGAAGGGGCTTGGCCCACTGGAGGGGATGAGATCTCCCTGAACCAGCTTTACACCAACTGCTCAGCAGAGGACCGTGGGCCAAGGGGCATGAGGGCTCACAGACAGCTTTGGAAGCCCCATCGCTTTGTTGTGGCTTTCTTTCTTTCTTTCTTTCTTTCTTTCTTTCTTTCTTTCTTTCTTTCTCTATTTATCTATTTCTCTTTATTTATTTCTCTTTTTTTCTCTTTTTCTTCTTTTAAGGGGGGAGCACACAAATCCCCCCCCACTACCACAAATTATAGTCAAGTTCCCCACGTTTGGGGAAATCGCCGGGAACAGCTGGTCCAGAGTGCAATGGATAAGTCTTGCCTGGGGAAAACCATCTTTAAGATCCTGGTATCTCCCCTGCTGGGTAAGTGTTCACTGTGGCTTTCTAATAACAGCAAAGCTCCCCAAAATGAGTAGCCTAAAGGAGGTGAGATAGAAAGACCAAAAATTGGGGTGATACGGTTGGGTTTGTCTTTCCTGCTGGCACAGCCAGGAAGCTCCACACCCTTCTGATAACGCCAGAATTGCCTGCAGAAATGATGGGGTTTTTCCTAACGACATCTCAACTGAAAACATTAAAGACAAACTAAGCCATGCCTAATTAGGGCCAAAATGATTTCTAACCTTGATTTTTTTTTTTTTTTTTATTTAGCACTTCTTATTCCCGGCAGTACCCCTCATAAATCCACTTTACAAGTCTGCTTATAAAAGAAAATCCTTTAACCTCCCAACTTGCTGTGCATTACACCGAGTGATGGAAGTTAGAAACACCTCTCTGTTAAGCTCTGTGCTTAAGATCTACGCTCTAAAAGTTCTTTACTGAGCTCTGCTTCATGCTGGCTTGTCCTCAGATGTTTTCCATAGCAAAGCCAAGAACCCAGCTTTACCTGAGTGCAGACTCTAAGTGGGGAAGGGAACTCTCCAGGCTACACTTCCTGGGGTGCTGGCCCCAGCCCCCTCACTTGGTTGGCTCAAGGCTCTGAGGCAGAGATCAGAAGTGACCATACAGTTGGGTCCTTGTGGGAGCTGAGAGTCTGTCCAGGACTCTCTTGCCTTCTGTACATTGCTGGCGCCTTGGACTCCTTGGATGTTAGAAATGTTGTCTTGTGAGCACCTCTCTGAAACCACATTTCCCTTTTGTGTAAAGACATCAAGGTATATAGGGTCAGGGTCTTAATGACCTCATCTTAACTAGTATCTGCAATGACCCTATTTCCAAATAAGGTCATATTCTAAGTATCCAAGACATGAACAGGAAGCAAGATTATGAAATATGAAAGGGGGACACAATTCAACCAACAACGTATTGGAAAAAAATCTGCTTTTTTTTATTATTATTATTTGGTTTTTCAAGACAGGGTTTCTCTGCGTGGCCTTGGGCTGTCTTAAAACTTGCTCTGTAGTCCAGGCTGGCCTCGAACTCAGAGACGCACCTGCTGGTATTAAAGGTGTGTGTCACCACCTCCCAGCTGAAAATCTGCGTTTTAGCAAATGATGTAAATTTGAATTTTTCAGGAGGACATCTGCTTGAATGACTCACAGTACGAACTGCATAATGCTGCAATGATTACCAATCTCATTTATCAATAGCTTAATATAAAAATATTTCACTTCTTACTCATACTGAGTTCTCTGAGGGCAGCAGAGTGTTCCAGAATAGCTGTCCTTCATTCCATGACTCAGTGTCAGATGCTTCCACCATCATGATCTTCCCAAGAGGAACGTAGAAAGGGCATGAGTTGTATCTGGTTTGTGTTCCTCCCTGGATGTGATCCTTTGAACTGACCCTTTGAACCGATGCTTATGTCTGAAGCAGGTTTATGGTGCTCATCTGCCATAGGCAAGGAAGAGTGAGGAACAGATGGGGTGTTCAGGCACCCCACAGCCTCTACGATAGAAATGTTGAAGGCTTGATGTCGGGTAGTTCACTTAAGGCTATGGAAACCAAATTCTTAGCATGGGTTGGAGAGCAGGGAGGAAAGATGTTTTCTTTAGGAAGTGAAGCTACAGTTAATATATTCCTGAAGACTGGAATCATGGACCCAGGAAGCATTAACAGGCCCATCGCCAAACAAACAGGGACTCGAGACGTTGGAGGCCGCAGTTTGGTGGGAAAATGGAGAATAGCTGCCAGATTTTTCCAGGTCTAAAAAACTCTTATGGTAAGATGTCTCAGTCAGTCCAGTGTTTCCAGGTCTAAAAAACTCTTATGGTAAGATGTCTCAGTCAGTCAAGTGCTTGTCTTGCAGTCTTGGACTTGGGTTCAGTCCCCAGAACCCATGTGAAAAAAGCCAGGTGTGACAGCATGCATGTCTAATGCCAGTGCTGGCGAGGGATGGTGTCAAGATGGCCAGATGCCTGGGACTTGCTGGGCAGCCACTTTAGCTTACTTTGTAAACTCCTGGTCAATGAGAGACCTTGACTCAAAAAAAAGAGCAGACAGCTCCTAAAAACAATATCCGAGGTTGTCCTCTGAACTCCACATGCATGCACATACTCACACACCTTCTGCACATGCATGCACCTGCACACACGGGAACAACCACAGACACATAAACACACAGAGAAGAAAATCATGGGATGAGATGGGAAGAGGAGAGTGAAGAGGCGGAAGAAGAAATCTAAAAATGCTGGCCTTTAGGGTGCCAGAGAATCCACCTCATCGGATCCTTCCCATGCTGCAGTGGACTATGGGGATCCCCAAGAAGTTTGTGCAGCCTTGGAACTTCACAGAGGCTTAGAATGTCCCTTCTGTGATCGAGTGAACGAACAGTGGAGGAAATGAACAAGCCATACAGAATCAACTTTCCCATTCCCAAGTGTTGCAATTTATCAGAAGAAAGGAACATTCCAGGCTTTCACTCTCATTCCCTCCGCTGTACACAGTCCTTGCCCGCTCTTTGAAGTGGCTGCTGGGAGGTGATGGTGGTCACACCCAGATGGGCTTACGGAAACTTTCCGAGTCAGGAGCTCAGCCCTGTTTTTCAGCTGCTGAGCGAGGTTTCAAAGCTGAAATTTATTATGGCATCAACCCATGAAATGAAGGATTTTCCAGATCTCGAGGCTGTCCTGCCAGATGATGAGGGGAAGAAAGGGGAATTACCCAGGGCGTTTGGGTATGGCCATCTGTGAGCCCACTATTTGGCCACGCCCCCTACTCCCTGTCTGGGCCTCACCAACCCCCCAACCCCGAGGAAGGAACAGCTATTTAAGGGCAGTTGGATTTCAGGAAAAACAAGACAGGCCCTTGGAGAAGAAACTGCAGCAGCATCTGAGAGGTAAATGCCAAGAGACTCCTGCCCTTTGGCTGCATCTGAGTGACAATGCGGGTGCATGTGTGTGCATACGGACATGGGTGTGAGCCCCCGTCAGGTAGTCCTGTGCAAGACGGTATTTATGGGCAAGTATGTTGTATGGGTTTGTGAGGGTACTGAGGGAGGATTCGGAAGCATTTGTGTATGTGTGTAATCACGGCACAGGGTTAGAAAGGCTTTGCAAAGAGAAGGTGAAGTTTTAGTTGGGGAGGAGAACTTTGGGGACCAGCCTCCACGACGGGTGCCCAAGCCTTGACTCCAACATGAGGATGGAGATGGGGTATCTAGTGAAACTTGCCCATTCTGTGGAATGAGTCCGGTCTCCCTGAAGTGTTGCTGAAAATAAAAGGTATTGGGCTAAATATGTTTATTATTAGCCCTATAATTATTACAGTGGTATTATCCAACCTGCTGTCATAACCAACGACACAGACGACACAGACACCTGTGCATAGACACAGACGACACAGACACCTGCTAGATCTTATAACTGCCTTATTTACCTTGGGCTGGGCAGGTAATTCCACCCACGCTATCTCATATCTTCCATCCCCCATCCCATGCCATCTGCCTTAACCATTCCTCTCTGACCCACCTGCCATCTATAATTCCATAAATACTTGCTTATTCTTCACCTGGGTCGCTTTCTCCATCTATGTCATTCTTGGAGTCCTTCCTCCCAGCCCCCATGGTTCTCTCTCCACCTAACCCACGACGGCTTCCTCCTTCCTCCTCTCTTGCTGGCTGTCTCCTCCTTCCCAAGAGCCTGTCTGTCCTCCAAGCCCCCCCCCCCCAGAACCTTAGCTCTGCCCACTTCACCTTTGTCTTGCCCAGGTGTCAGCTTTTTATTGGTCAAACAGAAATGATTTCTTAGGCAAGGTTTACATAAGGACAAGCCTATGTGAGGATGGGCTGATGTGCTCCTCCCGGCTGGCAAAATTTAGGGCTCAGTAATTAGCATTAAAATACACAGCACCAGACCAACCCCCAACACAGAAGGAATGAAGGCGGTACAAAAGTGGTCCCATTACTATATCTTTCCTGTATGAGGAACCGTTCCACAGAGCTAGGAAGGGACAAGAGATGACACAGAAAGGGGGGCAGCTGGGGCGGAAGCTGAGACATCCTGGGGGGAAAGGCTGGTCCATTGGTACCTGTCCTTCACAGAGCTGACAGCATGAAGGTCCTCCTGCTGCTAGCAATGGTGATCTTGGCCCTAGGTAAGAGTTGATCTTGAACTGGGCATGATGGGGGGTAACCTAAGGAGGGTGGCGCCCTATCCCTCTGCTTTCCTTCCTGTTGCCCTAGCCCTCTCTTGGTGGGAGGAAGAAGGAAGCCACTTGTGGGAAGAGAAGGAAGCAGAGACAGATGCCATGCGAAGATGCCGCATAGGGTTCACCCTGCTTCACCGGGCCATTTCTCCACTTCCTTTCAGGCCCAATACAGATCCAGGGGAGCATTGCAGATTTCTGGAAAATGATCCTGCTGAAGACGGGGAAAAGAGCGGAGAGTAGCTATGCCTTCTACGGCTGCCACTGTGGTGTGGGTGGCAGAGGATCCCCCAAGGATGCCACAGACCGGTGAGGCCGCCCCCCTCCTCCCTATCCTCTGTCACTCTGGCTGGGATGCAACTAGGTCAGAGCTGGTGCCCACTGCCTCAGTGTCCTGGTGGATCCTGGCCAGCAAAGGTCAGCATATTGGAAACTCTGCTCTGGACCTAGTTCTTGAGTCTCTCTGCTCAGGGTCAGAGGTCAAGAGAAATGCTGGGGCCCCAGGACTCCAGGGCTGTGAGAAGGCAACCTCAATAGGACATGTCCCCCGAACAGGTGCTGTGTTGCTCACGACTGTTGCTACTACCGTCTGGAGAAACGTGGATGTGGCACAAAATTTCTGAGCTACAAGTTCTCCTACCGAGGGGGCAAAATCACTTGTGCTGGTAAGAAAGATTCCGAGATGCCAGCAGGCTTCCTTCACACATTTGTTGAGCATGCGCCTCCTGGGTCCTTTGCTGGTGCCAGGGGGGCAGGGGGGGTGGATTTATTAAGAACCTCACAATTGAGTAGGAAGCAAGAAAGATGGTGAAGAGGGTGATGGAGAAGACAGAAAGCACCGCCCAGCCTGATGCTTGAGGTGGGTCCTGTTAGCAGAGGTATCTAAGCTGAGTCCTAAAAGATTCTGAGAGTCAGTGAAGCACACACCTAAAACAGGGCACACACGGCCATCACCCCCGAACAGGGCACAGAATGGCCCCGAAGGGTCCAAGAGGACTGTCAGCCGCGCTGTGCTGCCCAGTGAACTTGTGAGATGAGGATGAGCCTGAGCAGTGCGGAAAAGGCAGAGACAAGGTCAAGGCAGGTCTTCCTGGCCACTGTCTTGAGGTCTGTGAGCTCCAGCAACAGGGACCTATTATTTAGTGCAGCAGCAAGAAGCACATCTGCAAAAAGAGGACGCGCCCTGGCCGCAGAGGGGATGGGAAGTAGGGTGTAAGACAGCCATGGTCAGATTGGACATATCAGAATTCCAGAGGAGTGTGGTGCCAGGTACGGGCAAGTTCTACAGGGCAGGATGAGCCCTGCTCCTCAGCTCCAGCATGCTGCCAACATCCGCGCTTACATACACCATAAGACCCACTAAACCTCCAAGAACCCTAGCCTCCGACCACAGGCGGCTTTCCTCTCTAAGATGAGAGGGGAAATGAACATGTCCTAGAAGGCCCCTGTCGAGTTCCTCTTTGAGCACTTCAGTCAGAATAAAGCTGCATGCTACCTTAAGAACAGCCAAGGTAAATGGTGGATCATGCAGGCTTTCACCAAGTCCATCCGCCCTGAGGCTTCCGAGGCTGGGGCTTTACTAACACAAGCAGGCCTATTAGCAAGAAGGTGGGGCCAGAGATAGAGCTCAGCTGGCAGAGTGCTAGCCTAGCATACATGAGGGCTGGGGTTCCATCCCCAGCAGTGTCTGAACTGGGCCATTTTCAGGAGGATCAGAAGTTCAAGGTCATCCTCAGCTATTTAGAGAGTTCAAGGCCAGCCTATGCTACATGAGACTCTGTCTTGAATGAATGAATGAATGAATGAATGAATGAATGAATGAATGAATGAATGAATAGTGTGGCTAGGAAGTGAGGTAAACCCCTGGCAGTGCTGTGTGCCAGTGCTGTGTGTTCCCATCAGATGGAGACCTGCTTTTCCAGGCAGACCGAGTGCTTGTCGGAAGGGACAGATCCCCACAAATGGCCATAGGATATTAACAACCATCAGCTCAGTATCTGTCTCCCCTCATTTCAGCAGACCAGAACTCCTGTAGGAAACAGCTGTGCCAGTGTGATAAAGCCGCTGCTGAATGTTTTGCCCGGAACCGGAAAAGCTACAGTTTAAAGTATCAATTCTACTCCAACAAGTTTTGCAGTGGGAAGTCACCCAAATGCTGAGAGAGCCACATTCCAGGGTACCTCAACACAGGCCTCTTCTAACACCTTTCCCAGCTGAATCAAGTTTCCCAGAGATTAGGAAAACACCCCTCTCCCACCCTAGAGCAAGGTGGGGGCCCTTCTGTCTTCACCCAGAATGAGGCCCAAAGCCCGCTGAGTCAGACTGATCTTTGCCCAACACCTCATACCATGAACCAACAAATTTCCTTCCACCTTCCCCTTCACATCCAACTTCCTGCCTTGTACTACCTAAGAGAGTCCTGGGGACTCTTGAAAATAAAGTAATTCATCAACAATCATGCACGTGTTCTCTTAACTCCAAATGAGACAGATATAAAATACGCATGCTAGAAGTACTGGCCTTGAGGCTGGGGTGGTGCCTCAATCAGGAAAGTGCTTACCGAAAAAGCATAAGGACCTTTGCTCAAGCCCCAGAACCCACATACATAAAACTCACACCTGTTTACAATCCTAGAGTTGGGGGAACTAAGGCAGGTGAATGCCTGGGGCTCAATGCCAGGCTGCGTGAATCAGCAAGTTCCAGGCCTGTGAGAGACCCTGCCTCCAAAAAAAAAGAAAGAAAGAAACAAGATAGACGGTGTCCTGAGAAACAACCCTGAGCTTGATCTATAGCCTCCACACACACATGCCCACATTTGCATGTATGCATGGGCACACACATGGACACGCACACATAAACACACCCACACGAGAGAACAAGCCTCTGGGTCAGTCTCTCTGGGTCCAGCCCTCAAGCCTTTATTCTCCAGGTGGAAATGCCTGTCAGAGCCTCTTGTTAAGGCTTGTTTGAGAATTAAGATGGGCAAGAGATGTCAAGCCGTGTCCAGCCTGCCTACAGCTGCCATCTCTGTGACAGGCAGACCATCCTCTCCCGGCCCCCGAGCCAGAGCCATTCTCCTGGCCTGTTGGAGGATGTGGAAGCCCACAGGAGAAATTGGAGTTGCTTCTGTCAAGGCTCCAGCACGCTGAATTTAAAGAAAACAGAGACTGTGGAGGATGACATCTTGGGCTCACACAACTAACACAGACCTACTCCCCGGAAACTGACAGAGCCGTGGTGTGGGCAAAGCTGGCCCCTGAGCAAAAATAGAAACCTGGGCTGGGTGTGCTTGTCAAACTCAGATGCTTTGCAGCAATCCTTAAAATTCCCTGACAGCTCTGAGGATTCTCTACGCCTGTGAAGGAGCAGTCAGAAACCAGTGAGATCATCCCCCAATTCTGGGTACGGGCCGTGGGTGCAGGGCCTACGAGGAAATGCTTTCGGTTGGCCGGCTCTGCTGTTTCCCTCTGCCTATTTTGAATCTGTTAATTTTTTTGCTTATGTTAAGATAAAGACAAACTGGAATTTAAAAAAAAAAAAAAAAAAAAAAAAAGCAAAACATGCCAACCCACAGATAAGAATTTTTCTTTTGACATTTTGGCCAATAGAAGAAAAGATTTTTATTTCCTCCCACCCCCGAATAATGATCTCGCAATTTACCCCGTCGCCTAAGGCACCCTTCCTGGGAATGAAAACTCGGGATTCGAGGTGTGAAATGCAGAGCCTCACGGTGTTCCGCCCTTTCACATCACCCTGATGCCGAAGTCTGAGTCTCATACAATACTAAGGTCTCTGTCTGGCATGAAAAATCAGTTTCATGTACCATACCCCCACAAACACCGCCAAGGACCTCTCAAAACTCATTCCCAAAAGTGCTTCCTGTCCTAACTGATGAGTCAAGTAAACCATCCCAGCAAAAGGAAAAAAAAAGGGGGGGGGGTGATGGGGGAAGGCTCAGGGTTGTTGGCAGGCCAGCAAGATGGCTGAGAAGGTAAAAATCCAACCCAGGTTGGATCCCTGGAACCCCCATGGTGGCAGGGGAAAAAGTTGTCCTCTGACCCACACCTGTGTGCAGTGGCAGGCACCTGTGTGCCCACACTCACATACATTATCTATACATACAAATGCACATACAGATACATACAAAGAGTTTTTAAAAGGCAATTTCATTGCTATTATTGTAATTAAATTCAGGACGTTTGGGCAGTGTGCTAGCTAACATGGAAACATCTGAGCGTCCTCCCCCCGAAACCCGTTCAGGACTGAACAGGCTCCAGGAAAGGAGACACGCTTTAGCCCCAGTGATGGAAATGGCTTTACCCCAAAGTCTGGGTCCACAAACAAACACAATACAAATACAATGTTTTGTGAGTGTGTATTCGTACGGGGGTGTGTGTGTGTGTGTGTGTGTGTGTGTGTGTGTGTGTGTGTAGCTGTGCTCACCCATGTGTGTACATGTAGAAGTCAGAGGCTGACGGTCTAAGTCATTCTCCATTTTAGTTTTCTGAGAACTGAGGCTTTCACTGACCCTGGAGCTCCGCTGACCTTCAGCTTGACTCGCCAGAGTCCCACAGAATCCTCCTGCCCCTGCCTATCCCTCACACTGGAAGTATAGATGTGTGCCATTGGTACCCAGCATTTCCACGGCTGCTAAGGATCCGAACTCGGGTCCTCCAGCTTGCACAGAAAGTCATTTTTCTACCACAGAAACAAGATCTGTGTTTATGTGTTTAGGGCTGTCCACAGACATGCATGTTACATGCGTGTTGGGCCTACATGGGAATATCATAACATTCTAGTCGCCTTGTAGGTCTGTCATTATTCACTTATGCTGATCAAAATAGTTATCACAATGTTTTTTAACTCACATGACTTTAGCGAATCACTGATAACTAAGAGAGCTTTAAATAGTTCGGTAAAAATAAAAGCATAACCATCTCGGTAGCTGTGCCCATGTATTTTTTGCCTGGGCTTGCTGGCGGAAATGTTCATGTCTCTGTGGATGTCTAAGATCACAAGCATGGAAGTTGGACCTAAATACAGCAGCTGTTGCTTCCTGTGTGTCAATTCCAGCAATTCAACTTTTCCTGTCTTTCCTTGACACAGGGATACCTGTGAACGGTGCTGCTTGTCTACTGAGTCAAAAAAAAAAAACCAGCCTAGGCATAACTGTTAAAAAAATAAAAACTTAGGCATGGTAGCCCATACTTTAAATCCCAATACTCAGGAGGGAGAAGCAGGTGGATCTCTGTGAGTTCAAGGCCGGCCTGGTCTACAGAGTTCCGGGACAGCCAGGGCTACCCAGAGAAACCCTGTCTCAGGGGGTGGGGGCTGGGAAAGGTCATCCTCACTGTGTTAACTGGACAGAATCTAGACTCAGCCTGGCCGCAGGGCCTCTGGGCATGTCTGTGTAGATTATCGTGATTCTGTTTACTGGCATGGAAAGAGCCGCCCTCACTGTGGTTGGCACTACTCCCTGGACTAGGGCCCGGGACTCTATAAAACAGAGAAAGTAAACTAAGGACTAGGGTGCATTCTTTACTCTCTTCTTTTGACTGAGGATACAACACGACCAGCCACCTCCCATTCCCCATCACGACAGGCTTACCTTGAACTAAGCCAGGACAAACGCTATCTCTTCTCCAGTTGCTTCTGCTGAAGTATTTTTTATCACTGCAAAAGGAAAAGAAACTAAGACAGGCGCTGAGACGCTAACCCTCTGAGTTCCGTTACCCTGGGACTACAGGCGTGCCCCCTCATGCCCAGTGAGCCGGCCTGTGTCAGTAATTACCTTCTTTATAATTAGCATTTATACTCTCGGGTTTTCGGGCGGATTCGTGTCCTTGCCTGGTACAGCTGACATCTTCCTGTATCTGGCAGAAATAAATCAGACATTCTTTGCTGTCCAGTAAATGTCCTGTCTTCTGGTGTCTGTCACTCTAGGTAGGTGACAGAGAGGTGTCATCGTCCCCTTTGCTGCCACCATAGGCAGGTACTCTGCTCAGCACCTTGTCACCAAGCACCCAAAGGGACAGCACTGGCTGAGATCCTCACCCGGAGGTGTGGCCTGCCATCCCGGGTACAAGGACACAAGAAGAGAAAGGGCAAAACTCCGAGGGCAGGAGATTGCCTGCGTTGGTTTTCATCATTTCTCACCAGAGGGTGGTTTGGGATGGCCCTGACTGTGGCAGAAATGAAGATCTCCTCGACAGACGACGCTTGTGCCCCACCCTTCAAAGATGGTCCCAAGAAATTGCAGTTCTCACCGGGAGCCTCACACCGAGAGAATGAGAAAGCTGAAGCCTGCTGTCAGCCAGTGGAAGACCCTGACCCTCGGAGGCCTGACAAGCTCAACAGACGAGAGCAGAGGTGGCACCTTGACACGACATGGCTCCTTGACCCCTGCCTCTTGCCCTCTTTGTGTCGAGGAGCCATGTCGTGTTGAGGAGATGGATTTGGGATTCATGGGACCTCTTTGTTTCTTCTCCTCCCCACAGTGGCTATGTTGAACACATAGCTTTTCTGCTTTTCTCTGTTGCTTCCATTTAATTGGCCTGTTGAGCCCTGGAGGCTGAGCCTGACTTGTTAGGGCTGCCAGGGTCCAGCCTCTGACCCTAAGGGCTCTGGTGACATCATCACACCTCTGGAGCTTGGTCATCTCAGGATCAAAGAGCAAGCAGACAAAAAAACACTACCTAGAAAGTCTCCTAGCTAAGTGTAGTAGCTCAAGCCTGTAATTCCAGCATCCTGGAGGCTCAGGAGAGGAGCCTGAATTTGAGACTAGCCTAGGCTACATAGTGAGAGAAAAGAAAAAAAAAAAGCGTGGTTGCCTCTATCCCCCCTCTACTGTCTGACCCCACTCATCCTCTGCTCCAGGACCCACTGGCTCAGCCCCCCACAACTACACCCTGTGGCCCAGGTTGCCCCAGCTTCCTACAAGGCTTGGCATAGACTCTTCTGTTATTTCCTCAGATCCAGGCTTCTCTCTTGGGTCTGTCATTCTGCCAGACTGGGTTTGGCAAAGGAGCCAGGAGCCTCTGCTAATTTGCAGTCTTGGCACAATAAAAAAAAAAAAAAAAAAAAAAAAAAAAAAAAAAAAAAAAAAAAAAAAGGGTGGGGTGGGGGGATGGGAGGGGAGAGTGTACCGTGCAGGCTCCTGTGTATAATTTGAAAGCACACGCAGAGTTACATAAACACTGAGTCCTTTTCAAGGAGCCATACATCCAAATAAACATAATGAGCAGCTCCAGCGGTGGACGGAAGAGAGGAAAATGAATGCAGTAGCACAAAACAGTGTTTCCCACCCACGGGTGGGAATGGCATGCTGTGAAAAGAGCGAGCTGGCAGGAAAGGTTAAGGACGGGTCAGTTAGAAGGTGCCTAGGGGCCAGCAAGATGGCTCAATAGGTAAAAATGCCAGTTGTC